TCCTTACACACCTTCTGTGATGCAAGTCAGATGGCATATGCAACGGTTACATTTTTACGCGTAGAGAACGAGAACCACGTGGCATTGCATTTACTTACTGCGAGAACGCGAATCGCACCAGATAACGCGAGCATTCCACGTCTCGAACTTATGGCCGCTTGTATAGGTAGCCGGCAGACTGAAGACATTTTACAAGCTCTCAGCTCTAGAGATATACCCGTTTTCTGTTGGTCGGACTCGACCACTGTTTTGACTTGGATAAAACGAGATAGTCAATGGGGTATTTTCGTCTGGAACCGCGTACGCGAAATTCGTCATACATCGCAATCGTGGACATGGAGGTATGTACCTGGACACATGAACCCAGCTGATCTTCCGTCACGCGGATGCCAAGCTAAGCAGCTATGCGATTCGCGTTGGTGGGAGGGGCCGAACTGGCTACGCGAGGATCAGCAGAATTGGCCAAGTGCAAAAGGCAAAATTGATGAGGGTGAGGTGAATAGTGAGCTGAAAAAGTCGGCTGAGATCTCAATGCTTAATGTTAAGCACGTAGATATAAGTTTAGTAAACAGGTTCTCATCGTACAATAAGTTTTTAAGATTTTTATGTGTCATGCATAGATTTAAGAGATTTTTGAAAAAAGAGGTTATAGGAAGTAAATATTTGACATATAAAGAGATCTACGAAACTGAAGTTAAACTGTTAAAATGTTTGCAAGAAGAAATGTTTTTGCCAAAGAATGATCCGAAGCTATCAGCGATTAAGGTTTTCAAGCATACTGATGGCCTATTACGATTAAGAACGAGAATAATACAACGATGTGACAGTTTCTCTTTTCTGTGTCCAATATTATTAGACAGTAAGCACGAAGTGGTACAATTATTAATACGCGAGACGCATGAGAGTATGAGCCATGCTGGAGTGCAATCAGTAATGTGTCAATTGAGAGAGAAATATTGGATACTACACATGCGTAAAACGGTACGAGAAATTATTTCAAAGTGTGTTATTTGTAAACGACAATGTACTAAACCGATGAAAGTAGTTCCGGCCCCCTTGCCGCTAAATCGAGTGAAAGATGCTGCTGTATTCGAAGTTACAGGCATAGATTTTGCAGGGCCATTATACCTACGCGGGCAGCAAAAGGCCTGGATCTGCTTATTCACGTGCGCAGTATATCGCGCGGTGCATTTGGAACTCGTGACCTCTATGACGACGGCAGCGTTTTTGGATGCGTTGGATAACTTCATTGGTCGTCGCGGTCGACCATCAGTCATTTATAGCGACAATGGCACGAACTTTGTTGGAGCCAACAACATTTTTGATAAGCTCAATTGGCACACAATCGCTAAGACTAGCTCTGCTAAACGAATAAACTGGATTTTTAATCCACCAACTGCAGCATGGTGGGGAGGTTGGTGGGAGCGTTTAGTAGGTATGGTAAAAGTTATTCTACGCAAGGTTCTCCGAAAGGCCTGTCTGACATACGACCAGATGTACACCGTTTTAATTAACTGCGAGCGTACAATCAATTCGCGTCCCTTGACATACGTATCTGAGTCACCGGAGGATTTGAAACCCCTTACTCCTGCCATGTTCTTGAACGATGTAGGAGAATCGGAATGTCCGGACATCGATATTTTTAGAAAGACTGATCTCAATAAGGCTATCCGACGTAGGCAGGAAGTGATGGAACACTTACGCGAGCGTTTCCGCAGAGAGTACCTGAGTCAACTAGTTTTTAAAGGTGACACCAAAGAAACTCGTGCAATAAAAGTAGGAGATATTGTTATAATAGGCGACGATAATCGGAAGCGTATTAACTGGCCCTTAGCTAAGGTTGAAAGATTGATTGAAGGGCGTGACGGTGTAGTGCGAGTGGCAATTTTGAAAACGAAGGATGGCATTTTAAACAGGCCGTTGCAGCGAATTTATCCTCTAGAGATTGAAAGTAACACTGTTCATGAGAATGAAACGAATGAAATAGTGACCGATAAAACTATTCCTAAGAGTGTCAGTGAGGAAAGGTGCGAACCTAAAGTTAGCGGTAATGCGGATAAGGTTCTGCAGACTCGGAGTGGGCGTATCATTAAGAAACCTGGCTACTATGCATAAGGTGTACTCATGTAATTTTTTTTGTTTTCGTCAGATATTTAATAGTATGTAGTTTAAAACGTATGGAGTTCGAAAACTCCAGGTGGGAGGATGTGAGAAACTAGATGTCCCGCCGTATGCACGTATAGGGAATTTTAGATACGAGACGATCGCGTGAGCGCGGTGCGAGCCGCATATGCGCAGTCAGGAAAGAGGATGTGCTCGGTTTGTAACGGTTGGAAGGGACACGTGTCTGATTATTCTCCTTGTGCTGCTTTAATAAATCCCAGTCTTTATATTATTGAATCGAGTGTTTATTCCTCGCGAATTCCCATCTAAATCTCACCACTGCCCTGTAAGAAACAGATATCATCTAAATATGTAAACACAAAGTGTAGAACGCCGAGTGCACGATCAATGTATCGTTGAAACGTTTGCCCGGCTTTGCGGAAACCGAAGGACATGGCGAGATATTCAAAAAGGCCGAAGGGTGTAATTACCGCGGTTTTCGGTATGTTTTCCGGTGGTACTGGAATTTGGTGGTATGCTTTATGTAGGTCGAGTGCCGAGAAAATGGTTTTTCCGTGGAGAACAGTCGGAAAATCGTGAAGGTGAGGTACAGGGTAGCGGTCGGGTACGGTCACCTGAT